TTCCCACTATCCCCCAGTCCGCTATGACAAAGGTCACAGTCGTGTGGGTCACGCCGCCTACGCGACAGATGAACACCTCAACAAGCCACTGAATCTGCGTGATTCAACAACCCTTTCGCCGCAGGCAGCAAAACTGGCACTTGAGCGGTTGAATCTCGTGAAAATTGGGGACTGGTATGATATGGACTCTTTCAAACTCGTGATTTTACCATAAGTTGTATCAAAGGCTGTGCTACAAAAAGGGATCAAAATATGTTTTTCGAAAATTTTGTCGGTAAGGCGGTCGAATCACGCAGCTAGCGAAACATAGGCTACAGTTTCCAAAGACACTCAAGCTTTGGAAGTCACCAAACTTTGGCAGTCACTTTTTTGCTAATTTTACCTCTGACACCTGGCGACCCCCACCTCCTTCAATCGCAGACATCTCAACTTCTATTCTAGATGTAGGACTTTTCTCTTTCATTGAAATCACGTCAAATGAACACCGCTTTAAGATGATACAAATAACTCCATATTTCTAAAACTTGACGAGCTCATGATTTCACAGAGTCGCAAAACATTATTCACCTTTAAGGAGCTGTCCGCTGTTGAGAACTGCTTGCCGTCCGACCGGAAGAACGTATCTCCATTGGTCAACCATGTGACGCCATTGACCTGCAGACTGTACTGACCAGAAGTATCAATCGAGATGACCAATCCAGACCTTCCTGAAATTGACGTATTATATCAGCTAGTAAGAATACTATGATTCACTAAAGACAAATATTGCACAACACATCTTCTTCTTGCATATTATATATTTTTCTTTGCCCACCAATGAAAAGCAGCTAAATGCCCCTCCCCCTCTTTCCCTCTCCCCCTCTCCCCCATTAAAAAAAACAAAAACACAAAAAACAAAAAATAAACAAACAAAACCCGAGAAAGAGAACAAACAAAAACGAAAAGAAATAATAAACTAGGGCATTTAAAAACTGAGAATTCAAGTGTCTGCTTCAAAGAGATCTTCTGGCAAAATCATTCCAATCTAAAAAACGTGATATATATTATATATA